AGTCGGAGCTGCAAGGTGGGGGGCGGGGAGAGTTGCCGCGCTGCAGGTCAACAGGGCGGCTTCACAGAAGGGCCGCTGACGGCGAGGTAACGCTGGCTGTGCACAGACTGGGGCATGGTCCGGGGTGGCAATCTACGTGCCCCCCGCCTTCCAGAAATCAGGAGCACATGTGCTCGAACGCCCAATCCCTTCTAAGAAGACTCCTGCATTGTTGGAAGCCCCCCCCCCCCGCATGACCCGAGCCCCCCCCACCTTCTCCATGGCCGCCGAACACAAGGCAATGAACAACAAGACGACCGTCACCAACATCATCGTGGTACGCCGCCAAACACGACAAAGAACAACAAGACGACCGTCAACAACATCATCATGGTATTTCCCTCACTTTCTCCCCCTGTCAATGGTACCCCCCCTGTTCACGCTCGTGTCACTTCTCTCTTATTCCATCTCCTATATGGTTCCCCTTCCTCCTCGTTTGAATCCTTCCGGCCGTCGAAGTTGGTGAGGTAATCGTACCAGGAAAGGAACTTCGAGAGGTACCAATTCTTCGACGGACTCTGCTGCCACCAAGTGTCGAAGCAGGTCAGCTCACGGCTGGGTGCTGTAGGCACGATCACCTTGGCAAAGGAACGTATCTCATGCGCCCGAGTACGACAATGTCACACGTGTGCCTGTGCACGGTGCGCATGAAGCCGTGGCGGCAAGCGCACATCCACTTTGGAGGCACATGCCATCTTATCACATGTGCCTAGAAGTGACAGCAGTCGCCTCTCCGCGGTCGCGGGACTGGCAACACCTGTTTCGCGAAGGCGTGCACTTAGGGTGGTTCACTTCGCTTTTTCCGAAAAGTCCAGCGACTTTTTAGTCGCAGCGGCGAGGATCCACACCACGTTCGGGAGCAGCCGAGAGACGCTCGGGGCCGCACATTGGGCACAACAGGCGGAGGAACGCGCGCAGAGAGACAGGAGCACGCTCAGAGCCTGAGGCTCTTGAACGCGTGTGCCGGACTACGGCGTGCACAGCGGAGACGTGGACGTCCACTTGGGAGTAGAACTCGAGCCCATGGGCACAATCAAAAGGCCAACGACACGAAACGGTACGTGCATGTCGCGATGCCTCTTCGGCGCCTTTTGGGGGGGGCACTTTGGGAAGCCTTTTCGGGGGCCGTCTGGCGACAGTCTGTCCCCACTTCGGTCTTCCCCACGAGGTTCTCACCCGTTCTGTGCAAGAGGGCCGTGGCCCCTTCAGCCGCATACCCTGGGTTCGGGTTTCCCCGTGGTTTCTTTGTGGCCCCTGGGGTTACATGGCGCTGTTTTGTGTTGTCTTGCCTATGTCTGCTTTGCTCTGCTCAATCTTACTCGGTTTGTGTAGCCTAGCGTGGCCTTGACTTCGTCTGCGTTGCTTGGAACTTCGTTGCCAAACAGTGCAATGCATGCAACAACATGCTGGGCATGCAGGGGGATATACAATGCAATACTATACTATGCTACTCTATGCAATGGCATGCACGTTTTCGCCACGCAATGTCATGCCAAGTCTTGCACGGCTAAGTCACCTACTTATGATGCGATATACACTGGAGCGCAATGCGCTGCACTGCAATGGCATGGTAGACAGTGCTATGCTATGCAATGCAACCATCTGCTATGCCATGATATCCGCCACAGTGCTGCTGTGCAGTGGGCGTGTCCTCAGGTCCTTTGCCTCTTCCTCTCAGCCTCAACCCTCACTCCTGAAGAGTCTTTAAGAGGCTCAGGCTCAAACTTCTCAAATCTCTTGGGAATTAACGCGTGCCCGGGTCGTCTTCTCGCGTGACCCAAAGGAGGGGCCCCCGACGGACCAAGAGGGCCCCAAGAGGCCCCGAAGACGGTCCTAGAGGGCCCCGGCTTACCGAACGATCGCTTCAAGACGCTCAAGATGGTCCGCAGACGGCCTAAGAGGCCTCCACGACGCCCCAAGAGGCCGCCAAGAGGCCTCCCAAGTGGGCCCCAAGGGGCCAAAAGGTTCTTGGCGTTCAGCCTTTTCGGCTTCCCGACGCTCCCAGACGGCCCAAGAGGCCCCCAAGATCGCCCAAAGACGGCCCAAGAGGCCTCCAAGAGGGCCCAAGAAAGCCCCAAGACGGCCCCAGAGGCGCACACCCCAAAAACGGCTCCAACAGGGGGTCCAGATGGGGGATCCGAAAATACATTTCGAGCCCTCGGTCCCGCGGGGCCCACGAGAAGCCCCAAGAGGCCCCATGGGGCCTCCATGAGGCCACCAAGAGGCAGCAAGAGGCCCCCGAGGCCCCCAAGAGGCCCCCAGGAGGCCCCCCAGAGGCTCCAAAACTGCACCCAAGAGGCCCCCAAAAATGGGCGCCAACGAGGCGCCGAAAACCAACAAGGCGCCGAAAACCAAAGAGACGCCGAACATCACAAGTACGCCGAAAACCAACAGGGCGCCAAAAACCAAAGAAGAACAGTCGCTTCGAAGCTCCCCATTTAGCTGGGGCCCCCCAGCTGGA